GTGGCAGAGGCGGAGCCAGAGGCAGAGACTGAGTTTGAGGGAGAGCATCTTGCTCATGTTTCAGCCTTTCCCAGTGTAGTGGCTGAATTTCCTGAATTTTCGCGTCCGTTTTTGTTTGGTTGTTCTTCGGCTGATCATTTTCTTGAGCCTAATGATGAATTCTTATGTGAGGATATCGAGCGCTTTTCTGAAGCTTCTGTTAAACTTTTCGACGTCGAGCGGATTCTTCCCAACTCAGGGTCCTGTGTTTCTGATTTGCATCTGCCTTGTGAATCTCAGTCTGTTGGTGTTGCTGATCTCTGCTATGAGATTCCAGACGCTGTCCGCAACTGTGACGTTCAATCTGGCTTAGTTCATCAGAACTGGCCAGCCAATGAAACGTCATTCTATTTGCCCTCACTGATACCGCCTGAGCAGCATGTTCCATGTTCATCCACTCTCTGCCTTGAATGCTCTAAAGTCAAGGATACACACATTCCTGGTTCCTCCGCATTATCCGATGAGTCAAGGTGTATACACACAGGTGTTATTTCTGAGGATGTCTCAGAGGTCGCGAAGCTTCCAGTCGCGTCTGGCCCACTGGGCCCGTTACACTTACCATTGAGCAGCTCTGTCACTCACAGGTTATCCAACGTTCATCTTCCCCATTTCACGGATAATGAACTAGACAAATTCTCTCGCACTCGTGCGAGTTCCTCCCAGGAATTACCCTCTCGTCACACTGGTGTTTGTAGCTTAAAAACACGATCAGAAAACCTCTCAGACAGTCGTATTCACTTAGGTTTGACTGGATACAAGAGACCAGCAAGTGATATTGTGAAGCCCATCCCGGCCATAAACGAAGTGGTCCCAACGCACAGGCATCATTCCAGTATAACGGCCAATGTGTATGCGTCTAAAAGCGAATCGCCAGATCAGGAAGGAAAGTGTGTTGCCGAAATTGAATTCAAACATTACACATCCTTGGAAGAAGTAAATGTAAAAGCACTCCCTGCATTACTACCTGTTCAGCTTGGCCTTTCAAATTCTGGGCAACCACAGTTACTAGCGAACAGCACGCTCCCAGGACTACCGGATACAGCCACTGGTATTTTATCTACAGTGGAATTCACTCAGTACGGTGCCGATGCTTCAGAAAAAAGCCTGGATCAAAAGATTACGGACAGTTCACTGTCAAGTTGCTCACCCGCACTACAGTTGCCTGGTTTTCCCCAACTCCATTTATCTGATCAAGAAACACACATTCCAGAACCCCAGATACAAGAGCTTGGGAGAGAAACAATCGCTTACCAGTCGATAGCACCTCACGGATTAGGCTTTATGAAATCAGGTATTGTCACACATTTTGACAAAGCAATAGACAGATCGGTACTCACCTATGGAGGAGACTCGGACCAGCAAGGCAATAGTGTCGGACTCAAAATGCTTCCAAACAATGAGGATTTGCAACAGTTAGCAGCAGCTGCAGGCGTAAATTTGGTTGCGGAATTCGCAGAAAACGACAATGATGACGATGATGATGCACAAGAACACAGTGTTTATCAAAGAAATATACATGAACATATGAATTCCTCCTCAGACAAAATTTCTGCAAACGATAACAACTTTAAGTCGGATGACTTTTCAACTCATGTGTCTACCAACCAAGTGGTAACTTCCGCTCTGGACCGTTCGATGAAGGTTCTCACACGATTACAGACCTATGGTTTCCGGAACACACAAGCGGAAGTATCGGTGGCACATAACATACTTGCTCGCGGTTCGGCATCAGACTCAGAGGATATTCTACCGCTTAGCCTCACGGACGATTTGACACATGCTGACCGGTTTATTCAGCGAGAAAATCTTGAAACTCAGGAAAAATTCGTTGAGCAGTTAGTCCATGAGGCCGATTCACTGGAAGGCGGAGATAGTGACGAGGACGAAGTCATTGATTTTGATTGCGACAGCTTGGATGATGGCATTGCTCCTTCTAATTCTTCTCCCGACGCTGAAGAGGATATGCTTTTCAAGGAAACGCAGTCCGCGAGAAGCGGACTGTCCCCCATCCTCGAAATTCCGGGAGCGGAAAGAAATAGTTCTGGGGAAGCGTCCGGTGATAGTAATTCCAGTTTGCAGCTTCTGAACATCAACAGCGACAAAGATTGGGAACAGCGTTTTGAAGCGACTTTGTCAGATTTACCTTCGACAGCATTGGATGTTATCCAGAGAGAACCGTTTAACGAAGTTCAACTAGGATCTGCAACTCCTAGAGACAGACACCGAGTTGCTTGCAACATTGATAGCACCGAACTCTTATCAATGCCGACAACTGACATCTCACATGAAGTTACCGGAAGTAAGCCAGGTCGTGACTCACATCAACCACAGTCAGAACTACCGGTGCAAAAAAGCGGTTCAAATCTCGGTGAAAGTTATAAGATACACACGGATACCAGAACAACTGAGCCATCTCAACGAATCTCGGAATTTGGGGGAATGAAATTCGATCCGGATAAATTTCCCTCAGCTTTGCTTCCACAAGACCTAGACACTGAGACGCTGGAGAACTTACCAAGCTTACTGAATGCTACCTCACTGCCAATTTTAGGCGGAGATGTGACCAATGAAGGTACCAACTGCAAGCTTGTCTTGAAGAGGAAAATATCCGAACAAACTGATGTGTCAGAAGAAAAAGTTGCAGCTCCAATCTCTGTAAAGAAAGTCTGTGACGAAGACAATTCCGCTGCGTCTCTAAATCTGCCCTCTACTGACACCACACGTTTCGAGCAGGAACAGAAACACAAAGACCACGCAAGTAGCAACACAAGTAGTTCCTTGTCTGAATTTGAGCGTCTAGAACAAGCTATGGCAAGGAGTTCTTCAACGTCTATGGGAAGCGTGCCACATGGTAGCAGCAGTAATATGAGTTCAAATCGCTCATCACTTTCGGAATTCCTCAAAAATGAAAGAGAATGTGCGAAGTCCAGTGAAAGCCTGCAGTCAACTGCACACAAGTGTGCCCATGCTACTCCAGGGGAAAACAATAATTTCGATGCATGGAAAGTAACCAGGTCGTCAATCTCGACAATATATGAGGACCTAAAAGGTGAGCACCCGATGTCCTCATTGACGCAAAGCACAGAATCTTCGACCGTAATCATTGCGACCGATCCAGTATTATGCGAGAAGTTTCATACGTCAAAGTTACACCCTCCGACAGAACCAAACCTAGACGAAGATTCCCAGTGCCCCAAAGAAACAACTGGCTGTCCGGATTTTGAAGGACTCATTGAAATGAGCGATGAACATGAGCTAGCCGAAGTAGACTCCCTTACCCACTCGTGTATGTATGATTCGCTGGCACCGTCCGTGTATGACACTACAGAAAACGAAGGACCAGTGATATTAACCCACGAGTGGGCTTCCAGCTGTATACAGAGCGCATACGATATACTTCGTTCTCGAATGGAGCGAGAATGTGACTCGCTAGATTCCAGTGGCCACGCGCAATTTAGTGGAACCACGGACTCCCTGTACACAAACACATCCTCAATTTGCTCCGGAAATGCAATGTCTGGTGACGCCGTCCCTTCTGACACATCTGAAGATGGATACAGCGAATTTCTGCCGTTACAAGTATATCCGCCATCTCTCCAGCTCCAACAGCCCCTGCAGTATAGTGCTGATTTCCCTCAGTCAGACATTTCAGCCACCCAGGTTTCCGAAGTTGGACAGATCTCTCATCTCATACCAGATCCATCAAGACGCGTGGAACGGACAGGAAGCTCAGGTTCGTTGACTAAGAGCCACCATTTTCAGTTCCATGAAGACGATGCATTGACAGATTCCTTGGAAGACAGTGGGGCAGTTTCTGATTTCAAACCTCAAAAAACCCATCCATATGGGAAACCAATAACGTCTTACTGTACCCGTCCTGGTCAACCGGTGGCCAGTGACGATGACCAAATGTCACTTATTTTAGATCCCGGGACAATCCACCATACTCTGGTGATTGCCGAACTAGCTCCACAAATTGAAATTGATGCAATATCAAAACAGCGTCGCTTTATCAGCAGCTTTACAAAGGAAGATACGCTTTTTAGCGTATTATCAGAAAAACGATCAGTGGAAACAATTTCTTCACAAGAGCTTAATGAGCTCAAAGCCCAACCACCTGAAACCGTTGAAATTTTACCCAGCAACGAACTGGAACTGAATCCACCTGGAGAATTAACTAGAAGAGAGAGGAAATCAACAAATCTACTGTGAATTCATCTACTTGGAAAATGAAGTTGTTGATTATGCAATGATCCCAGATCATATGTCTTATTTCTTTTGAACTCGGCAAAGCAATCGCGCGCAACATACAGAAAAGCTAGCATGCACACCAACCACTATTGTTCAAGCAGCTAAGACTAACTCCAAACTTGTGCACCTAAAGTTGACTCAAACCCACGCAAGCCATACCAGCCTTGAGCAGAGAGAACCCATATTTTCTGCAGTCTTTCTTAAAAGCACCTTCAGTCAATCGTGTTCCAAGTCTTTTGTATACCATTCGGAAAATGTGAAGTAATAACTTCAAACCGAGGTTGATGAAGCCCACAGCTTGTCTGGCGAATATTTTTTTACATCCTCTCATTCGACCATAAGGCCAACGTGTCGCTGCGTCAAACTTTGGAAACTGATAACCGATTTGTTTGACTGAAAGTGTCGACGACAGCATTCATCACCCGGCCTGTATTCCCCCAACAACAGACAACTGATACGAGATTGAGGTATCCCAAGTCACCTTCCCCCTAACACCATGCATTCAACCAAAATATGTCCACGAATCAAAGCGATGCCGTCAGTTCAGGTAGATGATCCACTCACAAATGTTGTATATGTTTATTTCCGATATACATTTCTTTCACATTTGATTTATTACATCATTTGCATGCACATCACAATCACCGTTTGCATATCATTTGTAGCACGTATCTGGTAGAGAGTTTCATGCCTATAACCTATATTTTTGAGCGGTCCACATGCGTATATTTCAATATGCACACGCACATCATTATATCGCTGTTTCTATTTACCCGACATTGGTGCAGATTTACGCGTTGCTTTGTGCTTACTCAATAGCTTCGGTTTGTCTGCAGTACCAGCATGATAACGTATCCAATGGTATATTGTCCGTGATTAAGTGTCGTCTGTACCTGTTTGAGTGTACCACGAAATCGAATAACTGCGTCTTTCTGTTTATCGTTGAAGGATTCTGTGTGAAATCTACTGACCTACCTGAAGCAATCTCTCATTTAATCTGCGTTACTGCGGAGGAAGTTACGCATTGCCATTATAACTGTGTCGATCGTCACACTAGCAAACCTCGCATGTTTCTCATCTCTGGGTGTCTTTAAATTCACTCCATTCTGACTTCGTTGACCGAGCACACATAACACTAATGTTGTCATCTCCTCACCCCATGCCTGTACAATGTGGTTAACAGAATAAGAGGACAATTCAGTTGACGTTAGGACTCCTCATTTCTCGTTTGTCTTGCTCTTTGTTTCAGGTACTTGGCATCCACAGAAACTGTGATTTAAAACCCGGCCCAGCGGACATTCTCAACCTACCATCGGCGCTTTTATCAATTCCCAAACTATTTTTCTCTTCTCCTACGACCGAAACTCAAAGCTACTGCCTATTTTTTCGTTAGTCGTTCTCGGTTTCTTCTTTCTACCTTCACTCTCCAGTGTCCGACCGAGAAAGACAGGATCAGCCATTAGGAATCTTTCGCTTTGACATTCGGATCAAATGCTTTCGTTTTCCTAGATTTTAAACAAGGCCATCATCGCTGGTCATTCTTTCCTCAAAAGACACTTTCTGCACAGTTTTTTTCTGTTTCGCATGCAGTGTTGTGAGGAAAAGAAACCGAGTTTGTTCAGCTACTAACCAACTGTAGTGTGCTTACTTATGAATACGGTCACTTCATAATCTGAGTTTCATTGTGCAACGGACGCTCACCGAACATTGGTCAGATCTTTCACTGTGTCCCCGTTATCGCTGTCTAGGACTGAAACCATAGATATTTTCTTCTAAACGCATTTGCGAAATCTCAGTCACCAAAACCATTTTGAGAATACACCGCTAGTTTTTTGGTTTTATCTAGATACTTTTCATTGTTTTCACGATTTTGCCGACAGAATGCCTCCATAAAGACAAAAAGAAGCAATTATGTTTCCCTCTGATTTTCATTCACACACCAGTGCCATTGTCCTCACATGCTGATAACCAGTCTCTAAGCCTGGTTTGTTTGCGAAGCAAACAAAAAATTGCCTTTTTGAGTAATCGTTAACTTCCTCATTTACCCCGGGTACCCAATTCTCGCTGGCTCCAGTTTGACACTGGACCACTACTTCTGACAGGTTGGACAGGCTAGTGCTTGCCCATAGGTAAGGCTTTGTGAGACTTGAAAAAGCGATAGGAAGTCTTTCGAATGATTCCCACCATGTTCTAACCAGGAATAAACTGTTGACTGGGCTGGTATGATAGTACAAAAAAACTGACATTAGGGTGTAGCCTTACGTAGGTTGCTTCAGACTAATTATAAATTCAATATCTATATTCCGCTGATGGGAGCATAAACTGAATCAAGAGTGGCTGGTTGGGCAGTTTGGCTGGACACTATTCAAACCCATCCGGTAAGTTTGAAAACACTTCGGTTGATGGAACACCGGCAGAAGATGGGTGCAAATATTGGTTTTGCAATGAGGATACACTATAACTGTGTGTATATAGATGTTTCACCAGGTCACGCAAGGGAGAGTGTAGTTAGAAGGCTCAGAATGTTACAGCTTGCACTGGACTTTCATTCAGAATGTGCACGAGAGAACTGAAGCCGTGGAGGGTTTTATTGTGAACGGACAGACATGATAAGATCTCCTGTTCTTCGCTGGTGCCACCCTTATTAGTCGCCCCCCCCCCACAAGTTATTGTCAGTTTGTCGCAGACCACCATCCTTTGAGCAACCCCACAACTAGTCGACTAGCTTTGAATCGGTTCTACATTTTTGAAAATAATGTGAGTTTATTTCAAGCCAGATTTGGTAGTCACCTTGAAATCGGCAGAATGTTCCGTGCGAAAATTTTTCGCGCTCAACCAACTCAAAGTAGTATTGAAAACCTACCCAACGTGCAATGCTAATTAGTTGTTTTGTGACTAAAATTGAAGATCTCGAACGCTGAGGGCATTTATGAAATCCCGAGTTCATACTGTTATTCCAGAGGTATACAAAATTAGGAATGATTCCGTTAGAGTGGTCATCTTTAAGGTACCGGCGTTTGATCCCCCCAGAAAAAATAACAACCGCTACCTTGTATCTCAGACTCTTGAGTC